AAGATATGAGACTCATTTTACTCATAAAAAAATCAAGCAAGGAAAGGTAGTTAATCTTGATTTCTTTCAGTCTATTAAATTTCCATATTTACATATTTTAGAGGATTTTGGTTAGATGAACTATTTTAGCTTGGATGGAATTGTCTTTAAGAATCTAATTAGGGTATTTTACATTCAAAATGTTGCTGGTGTATGGATTAAGAAACTTGAACTTGGAATTGAGCATGAGGTTCAAGATATTTCACAAGATATTCCATAAGAAGGTTCTTTTAGTCTACCATTTGATTCCCAAAGAGCTTTGTAAATTTTTATAACTTAAATGAATAATTTTCACTCATTGTTAGGGATATGAAGTCTAGATTGAAAAACAAGAAAATACCCCAAAATGAGTTGGTTTCACAAGTTCAATAAGTAAGGACTGGTATTGGACAAATCTGGATTGCACAAGAGCAAACAGAGCACATTTTCATCATTTTCCTCTTTATCGTCCTCTATCTTGACCTATCTTTTAAGCCAAGCCTAAATGTTTTTTCTACTTTTTTTTTATATTTTTAAGTTTTTAATTTTTTTAAAGACAAAGTTTATTGTAGCATCAACTTGGGTACTTTGCATATTCATCTTTAATGGCATGAACTTTTTTTTATATTGTGCTTGATTGTGTTGCTATGGAGTTGCTATTGTGGTTATGTTCATTCTTGATATCATGATGATATGGTGATTTATAGTATTTAGATTGAATGGTATTGGCCTTGTGTTGATTATAGTATTGCTGCCTTGAATTCATTAAGCAAGTTGATTTTTTTGGGTTTAAATGAATGCTCTTTGATCCATTTTGCTATGATAAAAAGGGGGATAAGTTTGTGTATTATGAAATTTTGCTAAATTGTTATGTTGCTTGTGTTTATGTTGTATAAATTCTCTTAATGTCAAATTGTTATATTGCTTGTGTCTATGTCTTATAAATGCTCTTGATATCATGATTTCTTTAGTGAAAATGGAAGATTTCTATCTTGTATATTTGTTGAAAGCTTGTTGAAAAATGGCCCTTTAATTTTGTTAGTCATGCTTAAATTTAAGGGGAGCTTATTTTTTCAAAAAGAAAAATGTTTTCAAAGCAAAATTTATCTATTGGTTTTGTTATATAAAAAAGGGGGAGATTGTTAGCCATGAATTGATAAAATATTTTGAAATGACAAAACAAAAATTTGCTCAAATTGAATTAAAATTATTTGAACTTCATTTGAAATTTTTTTAGCTTTTTATCTAGTAAAAAATGTGTTAATTCATTTGGCATGGTTTAGAAACAAAATTAGCCAAAATTTCATAAAAGAGATCTATCTCTTCCTTAAGGGGATTAATTGATTTTTTGGCCAAAAAGGTGTCTCATGAAATTTTTATGAAAACCGATCGATCCCCTCATTGTATGGATCGATTGGTACTAGTTTTTAAAGAAATGATTGATCCCCTCATTGTAGTGATTGATTAGTTTTTGAATCAGAAACAAAAATTGGTTTTAAAACATAAAAAAGGATCAATCACTGAGCTTAAGAAATCGATCACCTTGTAAAAGGATCAATTGGTACCCATTATAGATCGATCGGGTATGACTTTTTAGGAAAAAATTTGCATGTATTTCAACTGAACTAATTGATCCCCTGTATGAAGAGATTGATACCTTTGTGCTTAGAAAGCAAATAATGGCTATTTTTGTCTAAAATTTGTAGAGGCTCCAAATAATTAATGTAAGCATTGGCTATCTTCCACTCTCTATATTTAAAAGGAGGTCTCTTACTACATTTCAAGTAATTAAGAGCCAAGAAAAATTTATTGTTTTCATCTACCATATTCTCTAAGCATTAATGAGCATTTGCTGTGTGAAAAGTGTAGAAATTCATCTTGTATTTGTTTCTCTCTTAATATTCTTCTTAATCTTGATTTGTACTTCAAATTAGCGAACACCAAATCTTAGAAAGGTTCTTTGAGTTTGCAAAACATTTCAAAAACTTGTATTGTGATATTGTGAGCTTAAGGGGGGACAACCCTTGAGAGATTATGTTGTTGATTGTATAGAGCTTTGAAGAGCTAGGTTGTAACATTCAACTCATAGTTGATTAGACTCCTTAGTAAGTAAGGCTAAAGGAAATGATGTAGATACCTAAAAGAAGAGTTGAACATCTATAAATTTTGGTGTTTGATTCTTTATCTTTATCTTTTTGCTTTCAAGATTATTAGTGTACTCATATTTGTTACGTTTATTTGCTTAGAAAAACTGCTGTGTGAATTTTATGTTCATTGGCTATTAAATTTGAAAATTTTATAATCTATCAATTCACCTTCCTTCTTGATTTAATTCAAGTCTTTGAGCTAACATAATTGATTTGATTTAATAAAAATTTTAAAATATTTTAATGTATTAATTATATTTATTTTCTTTTAATTTTTAATTGACTTACCTTTTATTTCCAATAAAATATCCTAAATCTTACATCTTATCTTATATTTTATATCTTATATAAATATATAAACGTCAATTTTTTTAACAAAAAAGGAAAAAATCCAATGTAGATGATCTATTCTTTTGACATATGGATGATTTTGAACAATTATCATGTCTTGCATTAATTATTTTTATTTATTTTCATATAAATTTTATTTATTTAAAAGATATTTATTTTGACTAAATTTGGTATATTTATTTTCTCATAAAAATGAAATATTATTGCCTTTTATAATTACGTTACAATTCTATTATCTTAAATCACTTTCAAATAAATTTAATTATTAATTTTAAATACTAAACATGAACATTATAAATAAGAAATATACTTTAAAAGCATCGAATATTTGATATCGATAATTTTAGTATTTAATTAAGAAATAATTTATGTAATGAATATATAAGTCATATAATGCTAAGAATTCAAACCTAAAATAAAAGGCCTAATTAATTGCAAACGTATTTTTTATATTTCTTTCTATATAAGTATTAATTACAATCACACATATTTACCAACATAATTTACTATTTCAAAATTTATTCTCTAATAACCCATTATATTTACTTTGTATAAATTACTCTAAATTAATTTCTAAGAGACTTTATAATTTTTATTATAAATAGAGAATCATGTAAGCTAAGAGTTTTAGGAAGCTACTCTCCAAATGTATCAATTTGTGATTAGGTAAAATTTTGTCATACAATTATATTAATTTTTTATGACAAAGAATTATTTTGATTTTGATTTTTTTCATTATTGTATTTTCATCAAGTTACATTTTTTTTTTTTAGTTTCTCAGTTACTATTCATTATGTTAACAACAATATTGAATATTGATCAACAACTTAAATTTTTTTGCTTTTGTGTTCATAGATGCTTTTCTTTTATCACATTTGGTAGTTGGTATTACTTCTATTTTATTCACTCAATTTTCTATGAAAAGAAATAGCTTTCATTAACATTAAGAAGCATGAGTCTAGAAATTAGGCTTGGAAGCCATCCCAACCAAATATGTTGGTTGCTAATCTCACACTTAATCTTGGTTATGTGGTGTGATAAAAAATAAACAATTCTTTTGATATGAATGAACTGATAAGATGCACGAGATGAAATCAAATTCAATATATCAAGAATCTGAATCCCATAATGTGTATGATCTACCTTTGTGATTTCAAAAATAGTTACTATTGAATCATTCTCCATTACGATGGAATTAAAATCATGATCACATTGATCATGTTCGCATTTAATAATATAAATGTTTTTACTTTGATTACAAAATGGATCAAAATTGTCAAATTAACTACCATTTTTGTTCAGTTTTATCTTGATTAATATGACAATTATATATCCTACTTTTTTTTCTAGATTAGTTTCTATTTCTTTCTTGGTTTAATTAGCTTGAATTGCATTTATTGCTACTTTATTGATGTTTAACATGACATTGTCCAAAACTTGATCTATTGCTTAATTGCCTTTTATTAATCTAATTTCTTTTTCATTAAAATAATACAAATATACAATCAATCATAAGCAGAAAATTGTTTTCATGTGCAGTTCATGCTTTTATATTTTTGTGAGTTTTTTTAAGAACAAATTTATTAAATTTGGTCATAATGCATTCTTTATATATACTCTCTCCATCCCAAAATGTTTGTTACATATTGACTTTTACAAAGTTTAAGAAAAAAGTTTTAACTTTAATATATTTAATATTAAATTTTAAATTTTTTTTATAAAATTAAAATTTCATGATTTTTAATATCAAAAAGTAAAAAAAAAAATCATAAAAAATAACTTTAAAATATAAAAAGTAAGCATTTTAAATATAAAAAAAAAGATATAATTTTGAGACATCTAAAAAAAAAAAGAAAATGAGATAGAGGGAGTAAGAGATAAAAGAATATTCTTACAAAAAAAAAGTTTTAAATAAAGTTGGAATCATAATTTATTATTTTTATATACTTTATACTAATTATGGTACTTAATGCATATCTCTATGTAAATATATTAAATAATTTTATTACAAAATCTTCTTATACTGATCATTTTATTTTAGTTATATACTGTTCTCTAATATTTATTTATTTTTATTTATTTTGCATTAAAATATTTATTTTTTTATAAATATTATTAATTATATTATAATTGATATTTTTATATATAATTATATATTCCTACATCGCACGGACTCGGAATTAGTTTAATATTGTATATATTCCTTTCTACGTTTAAGACTTTTCATATTTAAATTTAAATTAAAGAATTTGAAAAGATAAAATTTAAAAATCAGAAGTAATGAGGTTGAGATGCGAGAAATATTGATTGAGAATGAATTAATACAGAAACATACCCAACCGACGCTGGCTAAATAGGGATTCATTGTTGTTGATAGATGCCAAAACCACAGGACTTTCAAACAAATGTAAAATTACAGACTGACCCTCTCCCCATCCTAGCCGTTACAACCGTTTTGTCGTTACCAACCCCAATCATCACAATGTTAATAACTACAACTACGCAGGACATTTTCGTAAATCCATCATCCCCTTACTCTCCCACTATTGTTTTTTCCTCTAAAGTGAAAATCAGAACCAAATCCCCCAATAGAGCCAACTCTCGCTTGCTCACTCTCTAAACTTCACTGTTTTTTCTTCCTTTTTTTCGAATTTTCTCTCTCTTAGGGTTAGGGTTTTTTTTGGTTTTTTTGTTTAAACATGGCTTCGACGTCTTCGTCGGAACCGGGGATGAAAGCGGAAGCTAGCGGCGGAGAGAATTCGGAGACGGTGATAGCAAACGATCAGCTTTTACTGTACAGGGGATTGAAGAAAGCGAAGAAAGAGAGAGGCTGCACTGCTAAAGAACGTATCAGTAAGATGCCGCCTTGCACCGCCGGCAAACGCAGCTCCATTTACCGTGGAGTCACGAGGTAAAAAAGAAAAACAAACAAATAATTGAAGTTATTTCCTTTGGTTTACTTACTTGACTTTGCCAAAATCCATGTTTTTGTTATTGAAATAAAAGATCATGAGTTTGTGAGAATTTTATGTTGATGAAGGAGGGAATCTGATTTTTACGTGTTGTTTGTTAGATTAATTGATGGGAGAAAGGTGGTGGTGGTGGTGGTGGTTTTGAATAGTTTTTGATGGATTGGAGTTGTGATTTGACTGGTTTTAGCTTTGGGCATATCTAATTGTTGCTGCAAGTTATCACTGAAAGTGAGCAGTCAAATGATCAAAACCTTAGCTTTGGGCCGCGAAAGGAACTAAATTTTGAGGACCCATCGATTTAGAATTTTGGAATTATAGTTTATCATTGTTGTGAATAAGGAAAAATTAGAGGTAAAAGTTTGAAGGCCAGGATTGTTTGTTTGAGGTGTTTGATGGGCAAGTAGGAAGGTTTGGAGAAAGGAAGAAGTTGGAAATGCCTTTGTTTAATTTAATGGGCTCCTATGAATCATTGTCTATGTACTTCCTTGGAAAGAACGATACAGAATTGATAGGATATAAGTTTGCCGGCTTTTGGAAATCATAATTTGGAAATCATAATGAAAGAAAGAATGGGGAAAAAATTCAACAGGTTTTTGTTAAGTACACGTGGCTGCTATTTTGCGATATCGGCACTATTAGAAATATTTTTGAAATATAAAAAGAATAATAAGTAAATTTACATAATCAAAAAAGAAATCATATTAAATTACGGTTCCAAGAATGTGATTGTAGATTTAAAAAAAATCAAATATAGAAGACTGATCATATAAGTAGTTGACTGCCTGAGACTTCCAAGAAGAGTAGTCGATTGCCATTAGCATGGAGTCAACTGCTTTGATAAACCAAAGCTAAATTTTGATTCTGTATAAAATAGCAGTGGACTGCCATCCTTGAGCAATCGGCTGTTATGGTTGGAAATGAGTGGAATCAGTTTTGAACCCTAATGGAATCAACTGCTATTATTTGATAGTCTTTTGGAAAATGGTTTGAGATTGTAGCAGTCAACTGCTAATAAAAGTGGAATCAGCTGCCTTATAAGAGGTTGTAATTGGAAATTTTCTTAAAATTGAAAGGAGTTGATTGCTATGTAGAGTAGTTGACTGTTCACATGTTGAATGCTTTCTGGAAGTTGAAAGAAGGTAACTGCTCTAAGGAGTAGTCGACTTCTGAATATTGAAAATGCAAAGGGATAGTTGAATGTCTTCTTGGTGGTGTTGATTGTTTTGCGTGAAAAATTACAATTTCCTGAAATGTGAAAAATTGTTTCTCTTAGAATGAAAAAGATCAATCAGTTTAATGAACCAATTCATCCTTAATTATTCAGAAGGACATGTTTCCAATAAAATGAAGTGCTTTAATTGAAACAACATAATCAAAGAGTCACAACCTTAGAATTAAATCTCTATTTATAAAGTTTGTATTGAGTTCATTTGATAAAATTCATATTACTTTTCTTCTTATCTTTTCTCCCATTTTTCTCAAGTTAAAAGGCTTGTTTCTTTAACATTTTTTTGCTGCGAAAAACCTTGTTAAAGACAAGGTATTTTCGTCTCTCATCAAGGAGTTTTTAGTGGTTTGGTTTTCTAGTGCAAGGTTAACCAAACTTGGTCATTGTATCTTGGAAGCTGTTCTATCCAAACTCTTTTGCATAAAATAATTGGTAGAGGCAAAATAAACATTAAGGAAAGTGGCATTTGCAGCATGCCTTAAGCCGTTTCCTTTCATGATTGAAGGTTCTATTTGTTTTACTTAACTTGCAAAAGAAAGAGACTACTAGAAGATCTAAGTCCAAACGTCAAGTACACATTGTTTTTGTATTCTTTGAGCTTTGTATTTTCTAACAGGCACCATCTGCCACTGGTACATGGCCGAAATTAAGTGCTAACAGTGGCAAAAAAAGAAAAAAGAGTAGCAGATAATAGCAGCTGAAACGGAACGCTATTGCCGCTACTGAAAAAAAAATCAGCCTTAATTCAAATCAAGAAGATATTATTTTGTGTCTACCTTTTTTTTTTATTTATGTTTAAATTTCTGCAAAAACTTGGGAGAGCTTTGAAGAAATTGATGTGGGTTTGATTGAGAATTGAGAGGAAAGTGAGGAGTTTTGAGACAGAAAGGGGCGTGGGCTATGCTGCAAATGAAGCATAAGTCTGGTGGCTCCTTGACTAAAAGGGTGAGAGAGAATTCCAGATGATAGAGGTAGAAGAAATGAAAGGGACAAAGGCTGGTCTGGCATCTGGTTTTACAGGCAAAATATTAATTTGAGCTATTAAAGAAGAAAAGGAGAGGAAATTTTAGACGGGCTGCTAGCAAGGATAAGTCAACTAAATTTTTTGAAGGAGAATGGAAATTTAGTTAATGTATGTCAGGTTGGACAAAGAGTAATTAGTATATTATAGGCTTGTAATTTATGTTGGGATAATAGATTTTTAAGCTTGTTGGCCCAAAGCATTTGGTCCTATAGCATATTTAAAGCTCAAAATTGAAGGCTATGCAGCCTATTTACAAAATATTTGCAAGATAATTAGATTATCTTAATAAATTATTAGATGAAGAATAATTAATGTTAAATAATTAATATATTGATTTTATTATCTACCTTCACATAGGTGTTATCTATTTCAAAATTTTTTATTTTCTATTATCATGAATAATTTTTTAAATATGAATACATTGTTATTATCTCAAAAAAATTTTGAATAAATTATTTTCTCAAGTAAATAAAAGACAGAGGTGTCATAAACTACTTTAAAAACCATAAAGTAAGAGTTTTTATGATTATAAGTATAATTACTACGTTTTACTATAAGTTGTGTAAAATTAAAAAAATTCACGATCGCAATGATTGCAATAATTTTTGTTAGAACCGCAAATGTTATAAATGCGATGTGACCAAAAACGTGGCCATGACTGCAATTTAAATCCCTCATCATTATTGCAACACCTAGAAGGGACATGAATTCTTTCTTCAATATTTTTTGTAGGCTGTATGTCAATATTATGGTGCCCTGCTGTCAGCATATAACTGTCACCTTTTGCTTAATCTGCTTTCTTAGCACCTGTTTTCCCCTTTGCTGTTGGGAAACTTATATTAAATTATGTCTACTATAGGGAATGTACTGTTTAAAGTTATTCATGTTACTGGATCACAGAGGTTTCTGTGGTGTGTAATTGATATCTGATCTATTAGGGCTATTAGTAAGTTAAACTTGACAGCCATAAGTGAATGGATAAAGTAGGCCACTCTGAAGGAACTAATAGAACAAGCTTTTTCTTGGTTGATGCATGATTTTACAGTTGCCTTTCTTTTGAAACTAGTAGAGAATGTAATACCACTCATACCTATACATGATTGATGCTTGTGGTTTAATGTCTATGCATATTAGGCATAGATGGACCGGTCGTTATGAAGCTCACCTTTGGGATAAAAGTACTTGGAATCAAAATCAGAATAAAAAAGGGAAGCAAGGTTTGTCTGATTCCTTTCTCTCTTGAATTGGATTTGCAGGCTAGGTAATTGCAACTTAATAGTTAATAAAAGCTGACAATATATATATATATTTTTTTGGTGCATGTGATGATTGGTGTTTGACCATTGTCAGTCTACTTAGGTAAGTCAGGAGATTCATGACTATTTCTTTGAACTTTCCTGTTCATTCATTTTACTATGTTCGATTTATCAAGCAAAATATACTTACAGGGGCATATGATGATGAGGAGGCTGCTGCAAGAGCATATGATCTTGCTGCTTTGAAATATTGGGGTCCTGGGACGCTCATTAATTTTCCGGTGAGATTATTACTCAGTTTAGCACTATCACTTTGTACAAAAATGTAGATGAATTAGATGCTTTTATGTGGCCATGTTTGTTGTGCTTGTTACTAATTGAAAATACCTCTTTGATTCTCTTTTTCCTATGGTAATAATACCACAAACTAAAATCTAATATTCATGGGTTTGCCTGGCAGTTGTTACCCCTCCTTGGGAGAAATAATGTCCAAGGTCTGAATTACCTCTCCCCTCTTGAATACCTCATAGTCATATGTACCCCAAAAAAATTTAACCCTTTTGTTCATTAATTTAAAATTAAAGAATCCATAGGAGCCCTCTTAATGTTGATTCTCAAATTTGGCATTTGAAACTTTTGTTTCTCCTTGCAGGGGACATTAAATGCATGCATGTTTGCTTCATTACCTATGTGCTATTAAATAGGTGGCTTGCCCCACTTTTTCTTCTTTCTTTGGATATTTTTATGGTAGTGTTTCGGGCTTTGGGGAAGGATGGTGTTGTTGAGTGGGCTGGTTGGGCACAAAAGATTTTATCTTCATCTTAACGCTTTAATCTTCGTCTGTCTGAAATTAAATGTTTGAAAATATGGAAAATTATGTGCAGGTTACTGACTATACTAGGGATCTTGAAGAGATGCAGAATGTGTCAAGAGAGGAATACCTTGCATCTCTTCGAAGGTGTGTATGAACTTTAAATGTTTGTACTCCGACTTTAATTTAGAGCTGTTACTTATATTATGTCTCTCTGCAGAAAAAGCAGCGGTTTCTCAAGAGGAATTTCTAAATATCGTGGTCTTTCGAGGTACAATTTTACCATAAATGTCCATGCTTATATCCAAGACAAGTAATGTCTCCCATTCAGTTACCTAGTGTTAGTGGGTATACCAAGTATTTTCAAAGATTGCTGATTTAAATTGCTGCTCAAAGCTTCTCCCATTTAGTTTTAGACACCAAATTTTAAATATCTCTAGTAAATTTCAGAATCCAACAAACCACACCAAACTGTTGCTGCCAGAATTGGCAACTTGATTGTGTATGTTCTAAATCCTGTTCAAGCCGAAATCCAGCTCAAATTAAAGATCCTTTTTTTTTTTTTTTTTTATGTAATACAACATTTTATTTATCCATCTATTGTCCGCAACCATGAAAAGGAAAAGGAAAATGAAAATATTCTTCTCCGTAGTAGTTTGCATTCTGGCTAGTACTTAAGAAACAACTTAAATATGCATAAATTTGTACTTCAATCTGGAATGTGAGTAGATAAGTTGGTCTCTCAGCTACGCTTTCATCAACTTTCCTTTTAACTGTGTATTATATTGCTTGATGGGAATTTGAACACATATATCCTCCTAACTGGTAATTCCATTTACATCACCTTTCTTTCAATATAATTCTGAAATTTGACTCATGCATCATATGTTTGAGTTGGCTAGTATTAATGAAGTGTTAGATCTTCATTTGCCTCCTGCAAATTTCTTTATATTGTTCATCTTCCCACATGTGGGAAATTAGCATCTTTGAAATTGTGCATCAATTATTAATGTGTTTTTCCCTATTCGTTTCTTTTTTGCTTTAATTTTGGTTATAAATCTTTGGCTACTGTGAAGTAGTCGGTGGGACTCATCATTTGGTCGTGTTGCTGGATCTGAGTACTTCAATAGCATACATTACAGTAAGTTTACCATTTAATTTTAATTTAAATAACCAGCTTGACTAGTTTTGTGGGAGGATTTCAAATTTGTTTAGTTCACATTGTCACTAGCCAGATGTAATTTGTATATTTTCTTCACGTCAATTCCTTGCACTAGTAACATCCAATTGCTATCTTGTTAAATCAATGGTGCAGGTGATGATCCAACCATAGAAAGTGATTACATAGGTGGTTTTTGCATTGAGAGAAAGATTGATTTAACAGGTCATATTAAGTGGTGGGCCACCAACAAAACTCGTCAAGCAGAACATGGATCAAAATCTTCTGAAGAAACTAAACATGCATGTCCAGAAGACATCGGCAGTGAACTTAAAACATCAGAGTGGGCAGTGCAGCCTACTGAACCATACCAAATGCCCCGTCTGGGTACATCCCTTGAGGGGACAAAACATAAAGGGTCCTGTGTCTCTGCCTTGAGTATATTGTCCCGATCTCCTGATTTCGAGAACCTGCAGGAGAAAGCGCGGAAAAAACAAGAAAAAAATGCTGATAATGATGAGAATGAGAACAAAAATACTATAAACAAAATGGATCATGGCAAGGCAGTTGAAAAATCAGAAAATCAAGGTACTGGGAGTGAGAGACTTGGAGCCACGTTGGGGATGCGTGGTGGATTATCTCTTCAGAAAAATGTGTTACCCTTGACTCCCTTCTTGTCTGCCCCACTTCTCACCAACTACAACACCATTGACTCCTTGGTGGATCCTGTGCTTTGGACATCTCTTGTTCCTGTTCTTCCTTCCGGACCATCTTGCAATCCTGAGGTTGGTGTAAGTTCCATCAAAAAGTTTGATCTCATTAGAAGAAGTAGAATAAATTGGTATAACTAATAGATAAAGCTATTGTTGTAGTTTATATTTCATATACTTAGTGTTTATGGCATTTCATGAGTCATAATTTTGATATTGGGAGAAGGGACATTGTTGAATAAGAAAATCTCTAATAGAACCGTGTATTATTGTTATTATGCATTTTATGGAAGAAGGTTGATGTCAGGGATTTCTGAAATTGCATGTCAACCCTTAAAACTCATTTTTCTTACGTAAGTTGGCCTCACAAAAAAAGTTAAACATTGCTGTGCAGGTTACAAAGACAGAGACCAGTTCATCATATACTTTCTTTCGGCCAGAGGAATGATTAATTTGGGCACAAAGTGAGGAACATATTTTGCTTGAATTCTTCTTCGGGAGATTTTTGCAGTTCAACACTGTGTAGTAGTAAGTAAAACAGGCAGCATGAACAGCTTTGTTTGTCTTCAGAATGAGACTTTTGCTTTTATACAGGTTTGTCATCTGAATTCTGAGAGCATAGGAAGAAAAGTTTAGTGTATATTCTATAACATGTACGATATCCCACATGTATTATCTAATACCTATTAAGAAGTATGAATACTGGACTTGTACCAAAAAATCAGATGAGTGGAAATGGTTTTTCAGTTTAGCAACAACTTACCTAATGTCTTTATACTCAAAATAAAAATATTTACTCTCTATCAATTATGAAGGTAGGCAGATCTTATGGTCTTTATTTTTTACTACAAGCCATGGGCGAGTTAATGTGAGTTTACATTTTTTCTCTCCTTTTTTTGATCTAAATGGACAAAGTGAGCATTTGGTTCAGTTTGAATGAGTTTCTCTATTGCAAGAGCAAAAGCAAAAGCAAAAGCAAATTATTTGGTTGTCAAAATTTAAAAATTTTTAATTACACGGGAAGCTCATTTAGACTCTTAAGATGAAGCCGTAAATCAAGTGGGTTTGGTTTTTTTTTTTTTTTTTTTTTTAAGATGCTGCTATGTAACAGATATTTTGTTAATTTTTTATATTCAATTTATCTTTCAATAATTCATACAATTATAGAGAGAATTCTATTATTTTATATTCATCTTTTTATTTGTTCTGATTTTTCTCTTGATTTCCTTTTTTAGTTTATAATTAATAAAATATCTCTTCATTTTATTTAATTTTTTCATATAAAAACTAATGATTTAATTTAACAGTCTTTTATTTTTCTTTACATTTGAACGTGAAGTGTACAGAACATGAATTTATAGAAACAGGGAAGTCCATTATCTTTAGCCATAAAGCAATCAAGCATACTCTTTACACTTTTTTTATACAAAAATACGGCTTCGTTTGCTTTGGGGTAAGAGGAAGGAAAGAAAAGTAAATGGGAAAATTTTTTTTTTTTACTTAGGTAATCACATAAATAAAAATAAAGGAAATGGAAGGATGATGAGCCCCTCTTACTTTCCCTCACTTTCTTGCATTTTAAATTTGGGGATGACGAGTCCCTCTCACTTTCCCTCATTTTCTTTCATTTAAATTACCCCAAATTAGGGGGAAAGATAATGAAGGGGCAAAATAAAATTTTAAAAATATGAAATGACTAGTATATTTTTATTATTATTTTTAAAGTTTCAATAAAGCCTTTATTAATTTTCAAATTTTCTTATTGTTAAATCTTTTAATAGCTTTTCATCAATTTTTTTAATAGTTTTGACTTTTACTAAGTTTATAGCATAATAATAATATTTAAGAGTTCAATATTTACATAAAATTTTAATTATTTAAGCGTGAAATTGAATGATGATTAAACACATGTTATTAGTAGATATACGTATTTACTTTGTTATTAAACCCACATTTCCGATCCTTCAAAATAATAAAAAAATCATCATGTTTTATACTCTCAATATTTTAGCCCACTAAAGCATTGTCTTCAATGATGCAAATGACCATTTGATGATCACCTTCCAAACAATTGAAAAAATGTTTCGTATATATATAAATATCATAGAAAAAGTTGTGCAATGATCATTTGATGATCACCTTCCAAACAATTGAAAAAATGTTTGGTATATATATAAATATCATAGAAAAAGTTGTGCACAGAAAAATCCAAATTTTATTTTTTTAAAAATATTACATATACTTAATTGAAAATTTTTTTTCTTTCTTTCAATCTTAAATTTACTTAAAATAATTTGTTATGAATAATTTTGTTATTTTTTATAATTTTTTTTATTATAAATCTAACATAATATAATAATAAACTCGTAATATAAAAAGAAACATATGTAAAACACAAAATGTTACATAATGTTAGAATAATAAACTCGTAATAAAAAAAGAAACATATGTAAAACACAAAATGTTTAGTTTGACATTATATGTTATTTTATAAAGCAAGTTTTAATTGAAAACTGAATATTAGTATGAATCTTTTCTTTCTGTTTTCACTTTTTAATCAAACAATGATTATTAAATTTTTTTTATTAATTTTAATTATCCAAACAAAAACTATATGTATTATTTTCTTTCTTTCAAAAAACCTTTCTTTCTTTTGCTTTCATTATTTGTTTTAACTAATATTTATCCAATTATAGGCTGAATATATATAATACAAGTAAGTTATAAAATTTCATTATTAGAGAATATAAACTACAGATAAATTTAATAAAAGTAACAATATGTACCATTGCCTCTTATGCCTATTTGTGCTTTAATCTTTTACTAGGGTCTTTTGTATACTTGATAAATTCTTGCTATTATCATGATCCAAGAGCTAATCTATTACTAGATTTTTAGTGTTCACAATTGATGACATCCCTAAAAAAAAAAGGCATCTGTTTACAACTTTACAAGAATTTTGATACAAATGATTCATAATACTGTGACAACTGCAAATCATAAAGCAGAATCAGTCTTGAATTGGCAAATAGAGAACTCTATTCTCTATAATGCAGTCCTGCACAAGATAAAGAATAAGTTAGACTAAGTGAACCAAATTTTGACTAGAATCTTGTCAATCTCCAGAATATTATTCTTGACATCCAAGTAAAAATGATTATTGTAGATCAATAACTCAGATAACTAGTTGAAAGCAACAATTGTTATACCTATGCTTTTGTTGAAAGAGAAAGAGAAATGTAAAGTCTCAAGGTTCAACTTACAGATATCTAGAATCAATTCTGTCAGAAACAACAGCAACAAGTTTCAACTTTAAATATCTTTGCCCCAGTAAATACTTGAATGCATAATATTCCTTACCAAGCATACACTCTAGCTCAAACCATAGCCAACCCTATTGTCCTACTCAAATCCCTTTGGAAAAGACAAAAAACTTTCTTTAAAATTGTTGATGAAAATGTTTTCTCCATAGTTTTATCAGCAAACTTATCACCCTTGAAATATTCCTAGGTTGTCAAATAACCTAAAGAAATTTATAATCACCACTTCCACAAAAAAACCTAGTTATTGGTTTTGATGTTATTACCAGTACTCTAGGTTTAAAGCTCAGTGGAAAAGATATCAAGTTTGAAAGTTATTTTTAGCCTTAGAAACGCCTTCCCAACACATGCCCATGGTGAAAAAGTTGGTTAAATTAAACCTTGAGCTTGGAGTTGCAAACATTCATCAATGGCTAACTGAGGTGATTTGGATTCATGCTCAAATGATTAGCTTTTGTAGGATTGACATCTTCATTCTTCTAAAAAGGAAGGGTAATGAAAAATTCAAGGTTTTGCTATAATGCATTTTTACACTTTCGAAAAATTTTTGAGTGAGAGTTTGCACATGAGATATGGACTATCTTTTGCTCGATTTCCAATAATAAATTTGTTTGGACTATCATCTTGAAAGGGTTGGGAAAGTGTTTCTAAGGCTAAAAGTAACATTCAAACTTGATACCTTTTTCACTAAGCTTTAAACTTGGAATACTGGCAATAACATCAAAACCAATAACTAGGTCTTCTCATGGAAGTGGTGATCTTAAAATTCTTTGGGTTATTTGACAATCTAGGAATATTTTAAAGGTGAAAGGTTTGTTGATAAAAATTGGAGAGAAAATATTTTCATTAGTAGTTTTGAAAAAGGTATTTTGTCTTTTCCAAAAGGATTTGGGTAAGATAATGGGATTAGCTATGGTTTGAGCTACATCAATGTCAAAGAAAGTAGTAACTCTAATGGGAAGAGAGTGTTTATGGATAAAGATCTGAACTGGGGCTAAAAGTGTCTTTAGATGCTGAATGTTTAGGATTCTTTGGAGTATTTGGATGGACATGTAATCAAAATATTGATCATCATTATCTAAGAAGTCATTTGAATCTGAGTTTGAGTTATCATCAACATATTGCTTGATCATAAACAAGAATTGAATAGTCTGTTCATCATCAAGAAGGATATTAATTTGAAATCATTATCCAAAAGATTAATAACTAAGATATTTGCAATATTCTATATCATGTTCATGGACTTCTTACAAACTTTAGGTAATTCTTTGCAAAATGTCATGATTTTTCACAAAGAAAACATTTGTTGCTTTTTTTCTTTAGGTTTTTTTTCTTTATACTAAACTTGAATCTTTAAAATTTTTTAGGCTTTCTAGAGAGTTTCTTGTGTTTGGAAATGTGAGAGTTTTTAAGGTGTTTAGACATATTTAACTTTTTGAAATATTTTCTTTTCTTCTAATGATAAAGACATTAGAGTCATTTAAAGAACATTTGATTTGTAAACCAGCTGAAAAATAAGAACATGGCTTGTCCATTTTTCTAGAGTTCACTAAGTTTACAATGTATTTGTGCAATTTACAAATCTTGTCAAGGGTTTTCATCATAACTTTGTAAATATTACCTAGATTCATGTTTTTCAAATCAAAGGATCTGAGATTAAGCTGTGTCCTTATTTGTTAGGCAAGTTTCTTTGGAACTGAATTGAAAAAAGCTTGTTTTAAATTAACATCATCAAATCCACCAAATAAATAAATACTAAGAAAACTATTGATAGTGTTTGTCAAGATCTTTTGGATGGAGTGAATAACATTTCAACTTGAAAACTTACTCTCTGATCTTATCCATTCGGTAAGCTTTTTGCCTATAAAATATTACTGAGAACTAAGATACAGCTTATGTAATTGTTGGACATGTGAGAAACTGTAACTGTCTATGTTCATCAATACTATCCCAAAGGTTCTTAAGGATTCCAACTAGTCTTGAAACAAATCTGATTAAAACCATTTGCATTGTGATGTTGGGATTGGAATTTAATTCAACTAGTCTCCATGCTCGTAATTCTTAGAATCTTGAATGCTATTTAGATGGAAGAATGTTTGTCATTAATTATCAACACTGAGAATCTAGATGAAGATGAAAAACTATAAGCTTAAGGAGGATAAAAAGAATAAAATTGTTGTTGGTCACTATCCATAGGTTTTGGGTTATGAACTTCAATACTGTCATCTAGAACTTCAACTATTAGTTTTGTCATGATGATCTAAGGGAAAATATTTTTAGTATTTGTCTTAATTGCATCAGTTGAAAATACTTCATTATAGTCCTTTATTGAAGAGTCTGATACATCTTTAGTAGGAAAGATATCTTTAATTGAAAATTGAGAAAGATTTTTTGTTCAATCAGCTTGAGCATGTTAGGAAAGATGTTTGGTGTGGAAGAAATCATTAGCTGGGAAGTAGGTTTAGAAGAATCATTGGGTGTGGTTTTAGAGTGGGGCTAGAGGAGGTTGCCATTATGGTTATGCATGTTTTTGGCTTTGGGGTTTAAAAAAGTAGGTGTTTTACTATCCTTTTGGGTCTTTTTCCATTGGCTACTATTTCTTAAATCCATTTATCCATTTTTCAGTAGTGCCAGAAGGAAATTGCTTTGAGGGATAATGTAGAATGGTTGTTTTGTGAAGGGTGTTAAAAATAATTTTTTTTGAGG